GCTACTTTCTCCCTGAGGAGAGACCCAGTGAGCTGTGGGGCCCCCTAGGCAGGGGACTAGAGCCAGCTGGATCCCACACCTGGGGTCGGTGGCCTTGCTCGGCCTGTTAGAAAGAATCGGTGGTTCTCCAGGAAATCTGGAAGGTTAAGGAGCTCGGAGCCTGGGAGATGGAACATGAAGCCCCCAGATGCGGCTCTTCCCAGTGTGCTCCCCAAATCTTGGGTGAAATCCAGTCTACTCAGGAACTGCTTAGGGTCCGAGTGTGGGGTCCGGGTCAGCGACAGCGGAATAGCAGCCCCAGCGGTGGCAGTGGAGGTTTCCCAATCCATCCTCCAGGAATTTGCATGAATCTCCCAGGAGACTGTGAAACGCATGAAGGTCCAAGAAAATTACCTCTCGATCTCAGAAAGGCAAAGAGAGAGGCCCCCTGACATCTGGGCAACATATGTCAAAGCTTCTGCAAACTCTAAAGTGCTGTGCAATGCAAAGATTTGCTACCCTTGTTACAATATGTACAAAAACCATCATCAGAATGTTCGTGTTGAGTGGTTGATAATTATGAACCTAATTATGAAAGAGGCTGAAAAGGGCAGACTCCCGGCTCAGAGCCCCGGGGCAGCCAGCTCGGGCTTTCTCCGGGAGGCAGCGGATGGGGAGTGAGGAGGTGGTGGGTAGGAGTTTGCTTCTTCCAGGAGCCGCTAACCCGCCTCTAACAGCCAGGCCCCAAACAGCTCCCCCTTCTCTCGCTATCTTCTCTGTCATCCACAGGTTTGTTTAAACACTCGCTCAGTGTTTTTCTTTCTATGTTGCCAGAGCCGCTCCCTGGGAGTCTCTGTTGCAATCCTTCTTCTTGTCCAGCTCCCCAGTCTAAGCATCTCTCTGCACATTCTCCTTCCAAGCTCCTCAAAGCAGGACGGTGCTCCTGACTGCTGACCAGGAGAGGGAGGCTGCACATGGGCTGCTCAAGAGCATGCGCCCTGCGGAGGCATCGGCCCCAGATGGGACATTGAATGGGGCGCCCCAAACTCAGTCGTCAAAATAAATGTTGCAGTGCAATATTTTTAAAAAGAAAAATCAATGCAGATAAATCCATGATGGACGAAATACCGACGTTTTAAATAAAGGCAGGATCCGACCCTGCGCTTGCAACCCCCTCCCTCACCCCCTCGCCCCCATCCTGGCCCTTTCTAGATTTGACTCTTCGCTCGCGTCTTATTAGCTGGAGCCCACTTTTCTTTTTTAAAAAGTTGATGTATAGTTGACATCCTGTACAATGAAAACCTAAATATCTCAAGAGTACACCTCGATAATGGCTTACATATGGGTACAGCTGCGTGAGCACTGCTCGATCAAGATATAGGACCTTTCCATCATTCCAGAAAGTTCCCTCTCAGGATGGCCTTTCTTGCTTAAAATCCTTCAATGGATTTCTGCTGCTGCTGGAAGAAAGATCAGACCTTGTCCTGCCTCCTTCAGGGACTGCTGGTGTGTGTCCTACGTTTCTATGAAAAGCCAGATACGGGGTGTTTGCTCGGAAACTCCGGTCTGTCCAGCACACCACGCTGCTGAGGCTCTCGAGGCCACTTGACCCTAAATTTAACAGCAACACTGCTCCCCAGCCCGACACTAACCCTTGCCCGAGGAGCATTTTAACGTGCCTTCAGAGGCCAGAGGACGTTTGAGGTATCATTTTTTGCCCCCATTTTGAAATCCTCAGCTCTTTGGGCCCTTAGGGCATCTGAGCACATCTTAAGCCCAGCTCTGCCTAAGGCTGATGACTGGGGATCCTCAAGTTCCTTCAGGGGCAAGGGGAAGAGAATCGAAATCCACCTGCAGTCAAATAATTCACAGACCCTTAGAGCAAGAAGGACCTTTGGAAATCAACTGACACAGCCCTGGGTTTTCCAAGATGGGCAGTCTTAAAAGCACTGTGTCTTTCCTAAGGTCTCAGTCATAATTACAGTTTTTATCGAACAGCTACTACATGTCAGACATCAAAGTGCTTTACATTCATTATCTCATTTAATCTTCCTGGTCGACGAGATGGGCACTGTTAAGATTCTTGTTTTATGGATGAAAACACTGAGGCCCAGAAAGGGTAAGTGACTTGCTCAAGGTCACACAGCAACAAGTGGCGACGTAGTGTTTGAACCCAGAGTAATCAGACTCCAGCACGTCTACTCTAAAGCCTGCTTTGCCCAAGCCAGAGCCCTTTTTATGCCACCAAAGGCAGGGAACGAATAGTCTAGGAGGCGAAGAATTTGCTTTTGGCTCTCAGATGGACTTCCTACAAAAACAAGTCAGATAGTGAAGCGCCAGGATCCTGTCGGCCCTTCTGCTGGTTCACCAGGCGCCAGCGAGACGCTGCAGATCGGCAGATGGAGGCTGGCCCAGACAGATAAAGGTGTTACAGCAACTCTTGGACCGACGGCTCTGTTGCACAATGTGGGGGTGTTGGGGGGTGTGTGAGTGGGCGTGCCCCCAGATCACCAGGCCCATGCGGAGCCCTGGGTGTTCCAGCACCGCAGCTGGGATGTGATGGGAGGAGGGGTGACGGCCCTCCCAGGACACTGGAGGTGGCAGCTTGGTGTTAAGAAAGGAGACTTGAACTGGCAACTGGGACATGGGGTCCCGCTCCCAGGGGCAGCGTGCGGTGGCGGTTGGAGCACCTGCTCGGACCTTTGGGATCCCAGCCCTGACACTTTCCAGCTATGAGACCTGGGGCAGGTTACTTTTTCTTTCAGGGTCTCAGGGTCTCATCCATATGTGAGACTGTGTTTGTCAGGGCTCAGCATCTGGTAAGTCCTAAATCAAGGGGAAATAGCAGCATGTGACCTTGGGCAAGAGACTTTGCCCTTGGGGCCCTAGCTTTTTCCTCTGTGAACTATCGGGAACGGGCCAGATGATCCCCAAGGTTCCTTCCTGCCCTGAGGGTTTATGACAGTGCGTCTGCAGCTCTGCGCTCCGGGGTTTGGGGCAGGAAGCTCTGCGCTGGGGCAGGAGCCCTCCAGGCCTTCAATGCTGTTTGGCAAACACCCTCCTGAACCTTCTCCTTCCTATTTTTTTCTCAACTTGGCTCAAGGGTTGATTATATTCCTGGTAGAGAAATAAACCAAAAAGCCGGGGCTGTTGCCGCTTCGCTGTGTTTTCCTAATCTCGTTTTCTATTTATGTAACGCGCACGGGGTTTGCAAGACCCAGGGGCTGCCGTGGATGTCTTTGGCACCACTTCCATTAGTTCACTGTGTAGTTGTGGATAAGAATCCAAAGCCCCTCATTTGGCCAGAACTCGACAGTTTAGACAGTGGTCAAGAGCGCTGGCTGTGAAGCCACAACCCTCGGCTTCTAGCCCAGCTCATCCACATAGCCGCGTATGACTTTAGGCAAATTACTTCTTCCAATCTGAGCCTCGGTTTCCTCATCTACCAAAGGGCAGAAATAACCGCGCTTTGCCCCCGAGGGCTGATGTGGGGATGGACTGATCTGACGTCATGTAAAGCCCTTAGTGGCAGGCCCATAAAAATAATTAAAGTATCGGCTACTAGTTTTATGAAGCACTGCATATTTATTTTCTGATTTGACATCCCTATCGGCTCCATCAAGATGGTATGATTTTATTAGCCCTATTTTTATCTGAGGACACAGGCTCAGAGGGGCCGGGCACATAGTTAGAAAGTGGGAGAGCCCCCGGTTTCTACCCCAGGGTCTCTGAAACAAGAGAGGCCATTTTCCACTGTCCTCCCAGGACCTGAATCTCTGTGGAGTGACGGGGCGGTCCTGGATCCAGTGCCCCCTAAAGGAAGGTTGGTCCCAAGTGCTGAGGCATCAAGACAAGATGGGGAATCCTGGTGGCCTGGGAAAGCCTTTGTGCTGCGGGTGGCACCCTGAGAACAGTGGGCTTGGACATCCTGGGGGAGGAGAGGAAAAGGCATGGCAGGAGGGAACTGCCGCTGGCAAAGGCCTGGCTTCAGGGATGAACTTAGCCTATGGACAGGACAGTCCAGGCACTGCCTCCTGGGGCAGAGGGTTCTTGGAGGCAAAGTGCAGATGATAAGAGTGGAAGCAACACTTACTAACATTTACTGAATGCTTATGAGGCGCTCTGCTGAGCACTCTATAGGCAGTAACATTAAATTCTCACAACCACCTTATCAAGTAGGACCAATATTATCCCTCTTTTACAAATAAGGAGACCAAGGCACAGAGAGGTTAAGTAACTTGCCCGAGGTCACAATGCTGATAAACAGCAGGGCCAGGATTCAAATCCAAGTGGCAGTCTAGCACCAGAATCTATGTTCTTAACCACTGTGCTGACCTGCCCGCTCAGTAGGAGCATGATTATCCAAATTTATGATTCTCGGCATCTCCTGCTACGTGCTGTGGCACTGAGTGAAAATACTGGTTCCTGTGTGCACAGAGGCGACACAGACAGAGTACGTTATGGGACAGGGGGTTCAAGGCATCCTGAGAAGGACTTTAGGCTGAGATCGAAACTGCATATCTGACCACTTCACTCTTTTGTTAATTTCACTAGGTGGCCTCCAGCAACACAGGTGTTTGGGTTCCCTCTTCATCCCAAGGGGTTTCCCGGCTATCCTGGCTTTTGCTCCCCTGTTCTCCTTTTACTCTACTCACCACCTAACTAACCCCTACTCATCTTTCAGGACTGCCCCCAGGCATTGCCTCCTCCCCAGGGAGCCCTCCTTGGTTTCCCCAGGCTGGCTTCCACGGCCCGCTCTGTGCTGTCGTTGAAACCTCTGCCACGTCCACCTTACCACTGTGGGCGGAAACGATGTCTATCGGGAGCTCTCAGCTGTTGTTCTTAACTTTGTATTTCTTACTTATCTATAGTTCAATCAATCATCTATCAATCTATCTATCATCTCTCTCTCTCCCATCTTCTATCTTCTTTATTGTCATCTTCAGAATCTGGGACTGTATTTGGTCTATACTCGGGGACTAGTAGATGTTGGTTGAAATAAGTGGATCCGGATTCCCAGGGACTGTGATAGAGGGAGACATTTATTCATAGCTGATGCTGCGTCAACCCACCGACTTCATTTTCTCCACCCAAATCGGGGCATATCTGTAAACAACAGGGCCAAATATTTGAAATCAGGACATCCAGGGAAATCAGAGCAAATATTTGACAGAAGCTTTCAAGGTCCCCGGTATAGTTCTGGGCTCCAGCTGATGGTGAAGTTCCTGGCATCTGGCTCAGGGCAGTGCCGGATGGAGGAACAGATCACCTGATGCAGAAAACCCACAGCTGGAGGGTTTCCTCCAGGAGGCTGCCTTCTAAACCAGACGGAGGCGATGGGCTTACTCAGACTCCAGGATAAGCCCGGCAAATTTCCTGCATCTCCCCATCTGAACCCCAAGCTTACGTTTGTTTTAACTGAATTCATGCTTTTCTTTTAAAAAAATTTAAGAAAGAATGAAAATAGAGAAAGAAAGACCCCTGCTGACCGCTTCCTTGTTTCCGATCATGGGGCAACCTCCCACGGCCTCCAGCAATACAAGGGTTTTTGAGCTTGGAACTCAACTTACATATTTTTTTCCCCTCAAATTATTGATAGAGAAGGACTCTGGAATTTCTGAATATCTTCCCAACTGAAATGAACCATTTTCCATTCTGAGGAAGCCCGCTGAGAACCCTGAGGAGGACCGTTAGAAAGGCAAAATTATTTTGCTGGAACTGGTATTACAACCTTCCCCCAGCCGCTGGGGAGGAGAGAAGATGCAACTGAGAAGTGGCCGCCCATGTGACAGGCCATTGCTAAATGGGCTTGACACTCTGACCTCCCTTCATCTGCACTGGGGTTGGGTGATGCTGAACTCCGTCTTGGGGAGAACCGTGGCTGAACATTCAATACAGTTGGAACTGAACAGAAAAGTTGGCTTGGGGTCTTTGTTTTGTTTCATTTTTCTTTTCCTTGGATATCTCGAAACCCTAGAAAGAGAAATGGGCTCTTTCAATGGGTGTCAGGAAATCTGGACCCTGGGCTCAATTCTGCCACTGACTTGCTGTGTGACCCTGGACTAGCTGCTCAACCTTTCTGGGCCTCAACTTCTTTATCTGTAAAATGAGGTGGTTGGATCAGACATGTGGTTTTCCTTTTTTTTTTTTTTTTAAAGCAATGGATCTCTTTTTGAAGAATTCAAATTGTACTCAGTGTCCTAGTATGTAAAACAGATAAAAGTGGACCTGTTCCTCCCTGTCCAGCCCCCACCACGAGCCCGAGTCACCCTGAAGAGATTGAAGTGCACAGTCTGAGAACACTGAACCAGAAACAACAACAGTTGTTAACAACAGTTAACATTTACTGGACACCGTTCCATTCTGCACGGGGTGTTTGGGGGGTTCTGAGGTTCTAAATCATACCAGTGTGAACTGTTGGTAACCCACCTTTAACCAAACACAACCTCTCAAACCAGACTGCTCGGTTTATGTCCTGACATTCCTGCTTGCTTGCTGTGTGACCTGGCACAAGTTGTCTAACCTCTCTGTGCCTCAGGTTCCTCATCTGCAAGATGAGGATGATGATGGTCCCACCTTCGTAGGGAGGCTGTGAGGATGTGACAACGTCTTACACACATGTGTTTACAGCTGGGTACACAGTCTACACTGTGGACATGTCGGGTATTACCGCTAATCTCCACCTTGTCCCTGGGATTTCTTAGGCTGCTTTAATGTCCAGGGATCAAGTTCTTTCTCTTGGGTGAGAGCTGTTGTCAGAACCTGTTAGCTCTGTACTGGACGCTGCTTTGCGTGGCTCTCCGGAGGGAGGGAGAAGGTCCCATTCGCTTCCCTTCCGTTGATCCGCCTCTTCAGTCTCATGTCTTTCTGCCTCTCCCCTCTCCAGACTGTGAGTTCTAGAACCACAAAACAGCTTGCTCTCCGCAGGCATGCAGGCCTCCTCTTGCCTCTTTACCTTTGCACCTGCTGACTCTGTGCCGGAAACGCCCTCTTCCGCCTCCCTCTGCCTGGGGAAGGACCGTTCTGTCTTCAACTTTCAGTTCGGGCCTCACCTCCTCCAGGAAGCCTTCCCTCTCACCCCCAGGCCACATTAGCTGCCTCCTCTGCCCATACTCCCAGGATGAACCTCTGGCATCTCCCATTTATCACGTATATTGTTACCTGCCTCCACACTAGACTATGAGCCCCTTGGGGACAGGGGCTGTGTTTTTTTATTGTGTGCCCAGAATTGCCCCAGTGCCTGGCACCAGGCAGCTGTTTAGAAATGTTTGATGAAATGGTATTAATCTCACTTGGAGGAAAACCTCCTTGAGGGATGACTTAGAGTTTCTAGACCAGTGGTTTTCGAACTGTGTTCCTCAGCGCACCAGGGGTTCCATTAAGTGGGTAGGGAGGGGCTGAGCGGGTAGGACGCCAGCCCCCAGCCCCTCACCATCTCCGTAAATACACTCGTCCTTGTCAGAGCACAAGGATTCATCTCTGATTTAGATGACAGAGTCAGAAGAGGTACTGTGGATAAGCACTGGGCTACAAGTCAGGAGGCTCTGTTTGCCATATAAGCTGTAAGCTGGGTGCACCTGCGGTTTGGCTCACCTCTCTGTCTCTTTGTAGCAATATGGGGGCAATCGCACCCATCTCTCAGACTGGCCGCGAGGGTTAAATGTGGTTCTATGCCCTCATCATCTGTGAGAAAAGCCTAAATCAATTGTGCACAAGTGTCGACAAATGGCAATTGAATCTCAGGCAGTCGGCAGGGCTGGCCTCCATCTGACTTGCCATTTGAAAGTGGAACTCCCCTGTTTAGGACAAGCATTAGCTCATTTGAGTCCAGCACTTCAAAGTTCCTGGGGAGTGTCTTAAAATGAGTATTCCAGGCCTCTTCCCAAAGCGTCTGATTTAGAGGGTCTGGAGGTCCAGCAACCTGCATTTTAAACAAGCACCCTTAACCCAGCAGGTCCACACTCAGTGTCTACCCAAGAGAAATGAAAACACATGTCCACACAAAAAGCCACACACAAGTGTTTATAGCAGCACTATTCATCTTAGCCAAAAGGTGGAAACAGCCTAAATGTCCATTAACTGACAGATAAACAAAATGTGGTATATCCACACAAAGGAATGTTATTCAACCCTGAAAAGGAATAAAGTACCCACACGTGCTACAACATGGATGAACCTTGAAAAGATTATGCTATGTGAAAAAAAGCCAGACACAAAAGGCCACAAGTTGTATGATTCCATTTATATGAACTGTCCAGAAGAGGCAAATCCATAGAGACAGAAAGCACATTAGTGGTTGCTTAGGGCTGGGGGTGGAGGGGAGGAGTGCATGGAGTGACTGCTTCATGGGCATGACGGTTCTTTGCAGGATGAGGAAGATGTTCTGAAGTTGAAGGCGGTGATGGTGGCACCGATCTGTGAACATACTAAAAGCCATCGAATTGCACACTTTAAGTGGGTAAATTGTCCAGGATGTGAATTATTCTCAGAAAAGCCAAACAACTGCCCTCTGAGGGAGGCGGGGAGACCCCACTGTTTGAGAAACCCTTTTTTGGTTTCCCAAGTTAAGCAGCGCTGGATTCACGGGGGTGCAGATGGCCTCTCCTTGGCCCCCAAAGATGGGAACCCCCAATTCCAGCGCATTTCCTCTGGAAAGCCTCCCACGGTCCTTCTGGTTAAGGATTCCCTCCATTTTCCAGAAGGGTGATCACAGGCACAAAGCTGTGAACCATGGTCAGTGTCTCATCCCAAGCTTTTTTGATCAGATAGTCTTTCAAAACAATTTGAGGGTGCATCTCAATATATGACGTTATTTGTGGGTTTTACCTACTTAAAAATTATTATACACGTATCACTACGTGGATCCATTATGAATGTGGTAAAGTATGCACGCAGTTTACATTTTTAAAGGTGAGCTTAAAAAATGGAACAGGGAGGGGCTGGCCTGGTGGCACAGCAGTTAAATTCTCATATTCTGCTTCGGCCGCCCCAGGTTCACCAGTTCAGATCCTGGGTGAGGACCTACATGCTGCTTGTCAAGCCATGCTGTGGCAAGAGTCCCACATATAAAGTAGAGGAAGATGGGCACAGATGTTAGCTCAGGGCCAGTCTTCCTCAGCAAAAAGAGGAGGATTTGCAGCAGTTAGCTCAGGGCTAATCTTCCTCAAAAAAAAAGGAAGGGAACAGGGAAACCTTCTTTGAGGGGGTGGGATTTGAGCAGAGATCTGCATGAAGCTTATTCTCACACTTTCTTCCTGCCACCTAACCTCCTCCCACAGGGGTCTACTGACATCCTCCGTTGGAGGCCCAGGGAGTCCTTGAAATCCTTGAGTGAGGTCTCTAAGAATTTCTAGGAGGGGAATTAGAAATGTGCGTGTAGGGAGGCAGAGCAGACTCAGAAAGGGAGGACAATAAAGGACAGAGAAGGGACTGCGGGGAGAGAGCTGTAGGGGAAAGGAGTCAGAAGGACCCATGTTGAAATCCCAATTTTTCAAAGCTCTGATATATATATATAGAGAGAGAGAGAGAGAGAGGAAGATTAGCCCTGAGCTAACATCTGCTGCCAATCCTCCTCTTTTTGCTGAGGAAGACTGGCCCTGAGCTAACATCCGTGCCCATCTTCCTCTACTTTATATGGGGGACGCCTACCACAGCATGGCTTGCCAAGCAGTGCCATGTCCGCACCAGGGATCCGAACCAGCGAACCCCAGGCCAGTGAAGCAGAACGTGTGAACTTAACCACTGAACCACTGGGCCGGCCCCAAAGCTCTGATATTTTACTAGCTGGGTGTACTTGACCTTGAGCTTAGCCTCCTCCTTTGTAAAATGAGGATAACAATCCTTACCTTATAGGATTGTTCAGAGCGTTAACTGAGAGGCTGAGCTTAAAGAAAGAGATAAGACAGATGTTGGGAGGAAAGAAATATGAGAGGAGGGAGATGGGAGACAGAGCTGAGTTCCATGAACATATACTGAGTGCCTCCTGTGTGCCAAACTGTGCTAGGCAGGGGGTACGAAGATCGGATGGAGTCACTACCTTCAGGGAGCCCGCAGTTTATTAGGGGACAGGAGACAGAAAGACCACACATCCTGACGGTGGGGGGGAGGAGGCGGAGGGGAGGGAGGAGGTGGAGAGGCAGGGAGATGCCCTCCACCATCCAGGAAGCCATAATTGAGAATAAAGGGCCTTCTTCTGGGTGCCAGGTGGCGGCTGTCCCGCCAGGTGAGAGTCAGGGGCCCTGGGGGTGCCTTTTCAGCAGGCCCTGGCTCCACGCAAGGCTCCCAAATGAATCCCTTCCAGCCCCAACATGGAGGGAGCCCGGCAGCCGTGCAGAGAGACAGACACACACGGATACATGCACAGGAAACAGAGGGAACCGCTGGGCAGATTATTTTTGTTTTCTCCTCACCACCACCAGAGCAATCCGTGACATTCCTTCCCCTCCTAAACAAACACGTTTGTGTCCTGGAGCCTGCCAGGAAGTGAAGAAATTCCCTCTGGAATAGCACAGGCGGCCTCTCTCCACCGCGGCCTCCTCCCTCTTGCCATTCCTGGGGAGGCTGCGTGGGGGCCTCCCGGGGTGATGCCTTCTCCACTTTCTCCTCTTTTTCTGGCTGTTCCCGGAAAGTGGAGGGAGTTGGGGAGAAACTGGGTCCAGGTCTCTGTTTGGAGTCTCTGTTCCTCTGTACCTCGAGAGTTTCACTCACCCCAACCCCAGCCCAATTCTGGAGAATGATTTCAAACATTGTGGTGTAAAGCCATTAGTGGGTAGGATGATGGTGAGAGGTGACAATGTTGGGAGAGGAGGTGTCCCGGTCCTGAGAGAAATGAGAGAAGGTGCCGACTCGGGAGAGGCTCAGAGCTAAAGACGAGTGTTTTGGGGGTGACATTCCTTCCTTCAGAACATTTTTCTCACGAAATTAAGAAAAAAGAACAGGAGATCCAGAATCCTTGCTGAAGCCAAAGACTAGTCAAGAGAGCGCCAGGGGGCGAGGAACGGAACGGCAGAAAAACGCCTCCTTGTATCTTACATTTGGCTGCTTCAACTATTTGCCCTGAAAGTAGCATGGCCTTTCACGTTTGTTCGATGTTTGTGAGGCTGGATAATATTTCTGAAAAATTAACTGGCAATTTCTTTTCACTCCGGTTTGTCCTCTCTCTCTTGAGACCCTCCCCCATTTGAGCCACTTGGCTGTTCTGTGGTCACTGCTGTGGGAAAGGGAAGCGACAGTAGGAAGTAGAGAGAAAAGGAAGCACCTTCTGGTTTGTGAGTTGCAAAAGTCTAAGTCCTTAGGAAAACCAAAATGACTTTTGGCATAGTAGGCCATTGATTTGGGAGGAATATCTCTCATTGAGTGGGAGTAAGGCTTCTCGCCTCTGAGAAGAGGAAAAGAATTTCCTTGTCTGGGGAGAAAGGGGAGATGTGGAGATAAAACTGTATCAGTGGATATTTGGGGCAGGAGGAGGCGACGGGGAGGTGTATCCTGCTTCTGGAGCATGAGTCCTGGGGTGGGCGGCAAATCCCAAGGAGGTTTTGTGGGATGCAGGTGCAGAGGAGACCTGTGCACTATTTTCTGGTAGAACTGTGTCACTGGGGAGGCAGCAAGATGCTAGAGAAGAAGTGGCGACATGGAAACGTCTTGGTGGATGGAGCCTCTCACAGAATTCCCTGTGCCTGATGAGGTCTGAGAATGGCAGAAAGAGTCCTGTGCATCCAGGAGGGGCACAGGAGCAGCAGAGAGACCTGAAAGGGACTACAGGGATGGAATTGACTGGATTCAACCTGTGTGGACTGTCAACCGAGGACTACAGAGCGATGGACATCTCCGTGGATGCCAGTTGGACCAATGACATTGATATTGACCGTTCCCTCTCAATACCTTGGGACTAACTTAAGCTCTAAAACTTTGGCATAACTCTAGGAGAAGGTGAGAGAACCCCAGATTGACTAGGTTTTGTCCATGCCGGTGCTTGAAATAGAAAATAAGCTGCACCCTAGAAAAATCCAGTTCCATTTCTTGAAGAGTTTTCCTGGGATGATGGTGAACTGAGATTCTTACCCACATGCTTGCTTAGTGTTGGCAGTTTTAATAAAGACTTACATCTGAGTTTTCAACATTTCTCGAGCACGTCTCTGAAATTTTGGGAATAATAGATCAGTAAAGACAGAGCAGAATGTATTACAAGAGGTGCTCCAAGAGGGTTGCAAATGCAAATTGCAGAAGCAGGAGGACCTTGAGAAGGACGCCCCAGGCCCTGCAAACTCTGAGTGAGGGTTTTCTCAGGTTTCAGTGAAAGACTGAAGCACTCCTGCTGGGACCGCCTTTGTGAGCAGAGTCTGAGAAGCAAAGAAACAGTGGGAAGGATGGAGGTGGATGCCGCAGGGACACAGAGACGCATCACAGTGTCCTCACTCTCCTTCGAGTTCTCTTTCAGAGGAGACGGCTAATGGTGGATGTTTCAAGCAGAGCAGTTGGTGTGAGTGGAGACCTTGGGTCGTGGGAGGGATTTTTGGTGAGCAGGTCTGCCCAGACAGTAAGAAGCCATCGGGATGAAAGACAAGGGCTGACTCTCCTCAAGTCCCCTGTCCTGCGTGGCTGGGGAACCATGTGAACCTTACCTGGGGCTGAGTCAGCCTGGGTCTGCATAACCCTGCAAGTGCCCAAGACTTGGAGCTGGTCTGGTCACCTGTTTTGTGTGCTTGGGTTTTCTCTCTTCCACTTATTCTCTATGTCATAAGAAAACTGGCCTTTGCCCTTGGAAGACGCCATCCAGAATGCCCCTCCTTAGGTCTATGCAGACTAGATCCAAGGGGAAGCAGAGAAGGATTGAAGGACCTCTAGGAAGGCCCCTTGGTGGACTTTTCTCAGAACCCACTGAGGGCTCTTCCTGTAAGGCTGCAGGCATACAGGGCTGGGCTGGGGCTCCTGGCGGCCCCTGCAGTGGTTTTTGGTGACATCTAGCTATAGCGTCAAATAGACGGAAGGACATGGTGAGAAGGTTATTGCCTTTTCAAGTAATGGCGGAGCCTTCAGCCGCCTTCAAGGGGAGTCTCGGCTTGGAGCTCTTTAACACCTTCGACCCCTGCAAGCTTCTGACTTTCTCTCGGAGCTCCCCTCCGGAAGACAATAGCATCTAGCATGAATTTCATAATGTTGCTTTGTTTTTGTAAACCTCGGGTGACCTTCTTTTGTTTATGTCAGGAGATACTGGTTTTCCCTTTAGGGTAGTCATATAGAGCTTCTTTTATAATACACTTATTTAAGTTAAAATGGATCAAATGGAAGCAATAATCAATAATTATGAATTATAGTTATAGACAATACATAAATATGGTAAAAATTTTAGAGGTTGTGACTGATGATTGAAGTTTGAGGAAACTTGGACTTAAACTTTTGGTCCCAGTGAGAGCCTTGTCCTCAGAGGATTAATGGAAAGAACGTAGAATTGGTGCAATATACTTTATTTTGCAAAACCGTCTTGGGGACACAGTGGCGCGATGACCTGGGGCAGGTTGATTAACTTCTCAAAGCTTTGGTTCCCTGAGCCTTAAAATGAGAAGGTACTACCACCCACCTCACGGGGTGGCTGCAAGGATCAAATGACAGACGAACACAGGGTACAGGCTGAATAGCCAGCCCTGGTAGTCTAGTGCTTAAGATTCAGTGCTCTCACTGTCGTGACCTGGGTTCGTTTCCCGGTCAGGGAACCACACCATCCGTCTGTCGGTTGTCATACTGTCGCAGCTATGTGTTGCTGTGATGCTGAAAGCTATGCCACTGGTTTTTCAAATACCAGCAGGGTCACCCATAGTGGACGAGTTTCAGCAGAGCTTCCAGACTAAGACAGACTGGGAAGAAGGACCTGGCCACCCACTTCCAAAAAAATTGGCCGTGAAAACTCTGTGAACGGCGGCGGAGCACTGTCTGATGCAGCGGCGGAAGGTGAGAGGATGGCGCAAAACGACCGGGTAGGGTTCCACTCTGCTGTCCACAGGGGCCCTGGGACTCGACAGCACTAACAACAAATAGGCTGAACACAGAGCCTGCTGCACAGCAAACACTCAAGGGAACAGTTATGATTTTTGCTGTTGTTAGAAAAGCACCCTTAAACAGGGAGGCGCTATCCCGCAGTCATTAGTCGCTTATACGATGAGTGTGAATTTACACTCTTTCTTCACAGCGAGTTTTCATGAGCCTGCAGTGAAACCAAGAGGCCCCTGGGTGTGGAAGAGAGTTAGGAATAAGGAAACAAATATTTCTTCCCCATCTATTGTAGTAGATCGCATCATTCTTCCTAACTCTTCACCCCTCTCTCTATTGATACCTTCTGCCTGGTGATTTTGTAGTTTCTTCCACTAGAGAAGTATACTTCCCCTGTCCTTAATTTTGGGCTTGGCCCCGTGACTTGCTTTGGCCAACAGGAAACTAGGAGCTGTGATGCAAACGGTGGTTTAAAATGTGCTTGTGCTCTTGGGCGTGGCCCTCTTGTCCTCCTGCACTCGCCACGCTGAGACCATGCCCCCGCTGGCTTGCTGGTCCACTAGGAGCCATGCCCAGTGAGGCTCCATCTAGATCAGCTAATTCCCACCCAACCAGCGAGAACAAGATTAATGGTTATTTTTTAAGCCACTGAGTTTTGGAGTGGTTTGTTACCCATTATAATTGTGGCAATAGATGTTGGTGGCCCTACTACGTACCGGCACAGGCGTTGTCATTTAGGCCTCCATTCACCAGTGAAGAAACTGAGAGTTAGAGAAGCCCTCCTGGTCCAAAATCACCCAGAAAGGAAAGAGTAGAGCGTGGCGGCAACCCCCTTCTGTCTGATGCCCGGAACATGCTCTTTCCACTACATCATGGAAGAATGGGGTGGTGGGAGGTGGAACACAATGTGACTGGTTTCACAGCTGGGCTTGAGGCCGGTCCCGTCTATAGTCATCCCTGAGACCACACTGGCCAACATCATAAATCTGGGATTGTGACATCACGGGATGACTCAGGCAGGAGGTGGCAAGTCAGGGAAGCCCTGGTGAAGGGCTGGTCAGTTATAAAACCTCAGTCTAAATAGGGATAGGGCGGTAACATTAGTAGACAGGGCTGGGCCACAGAAATGGGTGGTTTGGGTCAAATAATGACTTGAAATTTATTTTGGAAAATATTTTCCCAAGTGTCTCACTGAGCCTTGTGGGAAGGAGAAATGGATGAGGAAAGCCACGAGGGAAAGCTGACAAGGTTGAGAAGGCATGATCAGAAGGGCTTGATTTCATAAAATTCAGAGCGTCCGATGTTCCTGGGGGCAAACTCCTACGCATCATTTAGAACTCTTCCCCTAAATCTCCTGCCCTATGATCTGTCCCTATCGTAAGACAACCTCAGTCTCAAACCCCTCTGTTAATTCTTCAGTGATCACAATAACAGCCAACATTTACTGAATGTGTACTAAGCGCCAGACACTGTTCTAAGCACTTTACACCTTTATTTACTTTCTCAATCCTTACAACAACCCTAAGTGGAAGATAGTCCTACTAACCGATTTTACAAATGGAGAAAATGGAGGCACAGAGCAGTGAAGCGAGAAGCCCAAGCTCACACAGCTATTAAGAGACAGAGCTGAGATTTGAACTCTGAAGAGTATGGTCTGAATTGCTATGCTGGGTGTTTATCGCACAGTACCGTAATGATCTGATTCTATTATTAAAATGAGATAATGGACATCAAGCCCTTGGCTCATTGCCTAACATTAGAGAGAGGACAAAAATATTATTATAACACCAAGTGTTACTACACTGCTACGGACTGATTTTATCACCTTATAAAAGCTGCCTCCATAGGTCTCCTTAGGGAGGGAAGTCTTTGCGGGGAAAGAACTTTGGTAGGTGGTTGAGATAGAAGGAGAACCTCCTAACGGCCTGGGGTCAGCTGGTGCCAAGGCCTCAGGGTGGCAGGGAACCTCTGCATAAGAAGATGAGGTGAAATTGGAGATTTTGGCGAACTGGGAGGGGGATGGGAGAGTAGGGAAGGCCAACAAGATGGAGGAAGACGGCGTCAGGAGACGAGAGCCCTTACCTGGGACCTGGCTGGGAGGTCGGTGAGTGTACAAAACACACCAGCCTTGGTGGGAGAGATTGTTGATTGCGGTGGCAGCAGGAGAAAAGGCTGAACCTGGTGCTGGGGTTCATGTGTTGTGGGATGATGGCCACGGGGTAGCCAGTGCCCCAAACAAAGACGGTGGGTACCGGAGAAGATGAGCCTACCAGGCATCAGCAAAAATCTGACAGGGCCGAGGAATTTTCTTCAGATCCTAAAGGGTCAGGAGGTCTCCAGCTGACATCTGGGTAAGGTTGTCACGACCAAGGCCGTTATTAGCATTCGTGTCTCTCTTGATAGAATGCACGCTCTGACAGGCATGGCTGCGCTGCTCATCCATCTTGGCTTCCCAGGGCCAGCTCAGTGCTTGGAAGTCAGCAGGGCTTTGACACACGGTTCTTGAGTTAATGAAAAGAAAGGATCTGAGCTAAGGATCACCGGTGCCTGCTCAGATGTATGCCAACCCAGCCATTCTTGATAGCTCGCCGCAAGGAGGTACTTTGGACATCTCAGTTTGTTAATGTCTGAGGTCATGGATCTGCTTGCCAGGTTCCTGGCTCGGTCCATGCTTCCCTACTGATGCCACACCCAACTCCATCTCTGGGCTCACTCCTTAGACTTGAATTTAAGTGAGGTGTTATTTGGGCCTTGTGGCTGCCATTTTCTCCTCCCACCTTGGGCTATTAGAACAGTGATTCTCACCTGGGGACAACTTTCCCCTTCAGTGGATATTTGCCAATACCCAGATATATTTTAGGTTGTCACAACTAGGCAGATTACTACTGGCGTCTAGTGGCAGGGAGCCAGGGACGCTTCTAAACATGCTATAGAGCATGGGACAGTCCTCCATCTTGGCCAGCTTGGGCTGCTGTAACCAAATGCCATAGACCTGGTGGCTTAAGCAACAGACATTTGTTTCTTGCAGTTGTGGAGTCTGGGAAGTCCAAGATAAGGTGCTGGCGGATCCGATTCCTCGGGAGTGCCTTCTTCTTAGTTTGTAGACAGCTACCTTCTTGCTGTGTGCGCATGCGGCCTTTCCTAGGGGTGTGAGTGTGGAGATGGAGAGAAATCTCTCTCTCTTCCTTTTCTTCTAAGGGCACTAATCCCATCACGGGGGTCCTAGCCCCTTGTCCTCATCTAAACCTGATTATCTCACAAAGTCCCCACTTTCAAATACCAACACATTGGAGGTTGGGGCTTCAATGGGAATTTTGGGGAGACACAGACATTCAGCCATCACACCCCTACAACAAAGTTACCCAGTCTAAAATATCAATAGTGCCGAGGTGGGGAGACCCTACATCAGCATGTTGTGGCTAAGAACAGACTTACTGGAAGGTAAGAGAACTAGTTTGGGTCCAGATTCTGCCACTTCCTTTAAGACAGAGATGAAAATTGTACCTACCTTTTGGGTCATCGAGAGGATCAAATTGGGTCTGACCAACAACTGGCTCCTGCCCTCTCCTCCCTGAGTCCCTACCCCAACACACACACAATGTATGACTGACAGCCACATTTCTCCATGGTCCAGGGACAACAGACCTCATATGGGTTCATGTGCCTCCAGGTCCGTGTGTTACTGGTTCAGAGGCCAAGCCTGGAGAAGCTAGTTCTTTGCCCCATGAGCCATGACATGCTTCAGCCCTTCCATGCACCCAAGCCTGGGATGTGGGCACCTTTGCTGGAAGTGACTAATTATCTTGCTTTAATTGTCTTACATCCTGGGGCATAACTAATTGTGAATGCTAATAGTTATATGAGGCTAAGCAAATGAGATTTATATAAAAATCTAGTTTTACTAGAGCAAACATTTTTTGGGTGGGGGTGGGGGAACAGGTAGCTCTATTCTAAGAAATAGAAGCTCAGTCTCACAGAATTTATGCTATAAAAATGTATTGCACGTTGACAGCATGTGAGAACAGGAAGTGACGTCAGAGACCATCTTGTCAAACCCCCTCATTTTACGTTTGAGAAACTGAAGCCCAAAAGGGAGAAGAAACTTTCTCAGGGTCACACCCTAGTTAGTGACGGAGAGAAATGAGAACCGAGGACTCCTGACACCCTGTCCAGCCTGTGTCCACCCCACCATGCTGGATCTTGCTAAAGGGCGTCCCTATCATGTTAGATGACAAAGAAGGGATGATTTCTCCCTAAATTTAAGTTCAAACTTTACCCTAAACAAGAATTTGATTTCCAGAATCATCGCCTGCATTGGGGCTTTAATTGCAGGTCTTTTTCCGTCCCGTGGCCCGGAGGCAAGACTGAGGCAGGCCCCTCTGTGGGTGCCCCGCTCCATACATAAACACATGTCTGCCATATATACACAGGCTCACACATTTGTCATTCCTTCCCAGAATGACTTAATGATTTCCATGTAACCAATATGTTGCAGCTGTTGGCTTCCTTCAGGCTGAAGCACTCAGAAAATCATCAGTTATCAAGTTGCATTCCCGCCACTGCTTTTTCCCAGCCCCGATACATTTTCTCCCTCTTTCCTTTAAAAAAACAAGGTAAGGAGAAAGCAAGAAAAAGGTAAGAAAACAAGTTAAGAAAAAAATATTAGGACCCTACTTCCAACCAAATTCAGAGTTAGCGTTCCTGGGGAGGGTCTGCAGGACCAGGCTGATGTATTTTTGTGGGAAGCTTCTAGTAGGAGACAATTTTAGGTTGCTCGTACATGGCAGACAGCTTCCGATCAGGAGACGCAGGAGGTGAAAGGTTGGGGGTCGGGAGGTGGGAAGTGCGCTTTGGAGAGGAAAGTGTACAGAGCGCACATGATCAGAAAGACTTGAGTGCAAATTCTGACTCTGCCCCTTGCTAGCTTTGTGACCTTGAGAAAATTGCTCAACATCTCTGAGCCTCAAATTTTTAATCTGCAAATAGCACCTGTGCTTATTGGGTTATCGAGGATCAGAGTGAGTGCTCGACAAAGGTATCTGTCTCTCCCTCCCTGTGTCCTTCCTCATCCCTTGATCTCTGGCTCATGGAATGGAAGAGGTAGGTATGTTCTGTGAATAAGTGACACAGCCTGGCCTTGCCCACCACTTCCAGAAACTGCTTACCTGGACCAGGTGCAGAAGACCATCCTGTCCTGGCCTTAAGGCCAGCTCCTGGGACACACACTGGGGGCTGTAGTGCTCAGGGTGTTTCCTCCTGGGCCCGAGAGATAACACTGGTCACAGCAACAGGTAAGCCAGCCAGGAGCAGCCTGGACCCACCAGGTTGCCTAAAGCGCCTATTGTCTGTTTCATATTTTCCAGTTGCCTTACCACCACTCCCCTCCATCCTCACTATTTTTCTCGGCTGTGCTATTAGTCTCAACTTCATCCTGCTCACTCTGCCGCATTCATCTTCTCAAAGCCTGGCTCCAGTCTTACCCAATTAAAAAAAAAAAAATCTGCCAATGGCGGCCTCCTCAAGTGACCCCCAAATCAAGTTCCTTGGCTCTGCACTGAAAGCCTTTGCAATCTGGCCCCAGCCTAATCTTCCCCTGGCCTCTTCATGTCCCCAAACTCCATCCACACAGGACGACTTGCCCCATGCTTTCCTGCGTCTGAGCCTTCGCCCCCCTGTGTCACTCCCAGACGGGCCTCTCTATCGAGCCTTTGAAATGCTGGTCATCGGTCAATATCCAGCTCAAAGTATGCTCCCTGGGATGCTGTGCCTGGCCCCCGCCCTCTTGTTCAACAGCCATTTGCAGCTCGCTGCTCTGTGCGGGGGGCTGGGGTCCACCCCTTGGACCATCCCACTGCCTGTCCCTTACTCCCTCCTGACATTTACCACTTTCCACCTCACGTTGTAGTTACCTGTGCATAAGCTGCATTTCTCTGACTACATTGTTAGCTCTTCTAGGCCAGGAAAGTAAGCCTGATCCCTCTCCCCCTAACCAACAGGTCAAGCATAGAATAGCGGAAGACGCTAGGCCTTGAAATCATATGGAACTGAGTGCAAACCCCAGTTCTGCCACTTCATGACCGTTTGGGTAGCATCCTTGAGTCCAGCTGCCTGCCCATCTTTAAACACGGAGCCAGGACTTTTGAGAAGATGAGAGGACAGGGTATCTGGAAGTCCCCAGCAGGGGGCAGACCTACAAGGAGCATTAAGTTTCTTTCCTTCATACATGGTTTGGAATGGCTCATACACTGCCTTGCATGGTTTCGTGAGTGTCTCTTGTCCTGCAAATTTCTGGCAAGTAGGTCTTACACTCCCCTTCAGGACAGGGGTTATGAGTCAGACAAGCCTGTGCTCTGTTTTGGGCTATCTCATGCTCGTGCTGTTTGACTCTGGGCTAAGGACTTCTCAGTTTGCTCATCTGTAAAATGGGGAAATGATACACCCCCCTCACAGACTGTTAAGAGGATTAAATGAGATGACATAGACCCAATGCTCAGCCCATGGTAAGTGCTCGGTAAACACTGGCTGCTCAAACCAGGATCACAGTTTTGGAGACATAGTAACGCGGAACGTCCTCTCCTTTGCGTCCCTGTGCCTTGCCCAGCATGTGCTTGTCCTGGGGAGGAGGAAGACTTCCCCAGTCCAGAGTCGAAAAGCAAGAACAGGAGAGCGACAGGGGACCGATATCCAACTTTTAATATTCAGAGCAGGAGTTTCTGAGTCTTTTATAGGATCATAGTATCCAGAAAAAGACTTAGAAAAGTTATTTTTGATGTTATTGACATATGGGGAGTGCGAGGTAGGGTTTCTTTTAAGGGAGAGTGGGTATCTCTTCCGTTTTTAAGGTTGAGCCACAAGGCTGAAGGTCCATGGAAGGAAGACATGATGTAGGGAAGTCCCTGCCAGAGAGGACGAAGAATGAAGTTGGCTTTCTCCGCCGCAAGGGATGGTGGGAGGAAGACAGAAACGCAGAGGGAGGGCCCCGTGAGAAGCTGGAGTCAGACACCGCCTCTGAGCTGAAGTGCTGGCTCAGGGGACCTTGTTGGGTTGAGGAGAAAGCTGATGAGGAGGGAGGGGGGCCTCTGCCCCATTCTCGTTTGCAATTCTGGGAAGAGACCCCTTGCAGACGCCCTGCCCTCACTCTGTGTCAGTCTTGGTCTGATTTGCCCTCTGGAGCCAGCTCAATCCTCCTGTGATGGGGAAAGGAACCAGAGGCTTCCACAGCTACCTGAGGGGGGTTGAGAGCTTATTGGAGACTCAGCCTGGGGCTCCTGAGGAAGAAGCTGGCTGCCACCAGGCCCAGGTGACCCTTCAGCCAGGGGGCCATTCACATTCCGTCTGCCCAGGCTGGAAACTTGCCCAGGCAGACCTCAGGGGCATGGGCAGCACCAGCGAGAACAAGGCGGGGCTTGGTCAGCAAGGGCAGCAGGCCATGCTCCTGGGGGTCTTGCCTGTGCTTGGGGCACAGACAGGCTGGAGTCGTGCTCCACGGTCACTCGGCAGCCAGATACCCAGGACAGGATCAGGCTGCCCACTCCTCAACAGTGGGCAGCCTGACACGGCCGGAGTTCAGACCCACAGCACCCAGTGGAGACCAGGCAAGGAGCATCATGAGGTCAGGAGACCTTCACTCTCTCTCCCCGTGCCTTGCCACCCCCAACGCTCCAAAGACACAGTTGGCTCCTATATACCCAGACAGCAGCTTGGGGAGGAGAAGGGGGGAAGGTAGAAATTTGAAAGACTGAACATTTACCTAAAGGGATCAAGTCATCCCAAAGAGACAACGTCACCTAACTCTGCTGGGGAGTCAGACCTGGGATGGACTGACTCCCCCACTGAAAGGAGGCCATTCAAACCACAGAGCCCGAGATGTCATCAACTGACAAGTCGAGGTTTCTCCACCGTCGACGCGGCGAGGAGGCTTATGAAATTCTCGAACAGAAAGAAATGACATTTTTCTTTGCACATCTGAGTGTAGCTATAAGCCTGCCACCCAGATACACAATTGTTATAAAAGGTAATAAATAAAAGGTGTAACAAATTCTTGTAAATGAATGGATGCAAGAAAGAATGTAGCATTGACTGTAAGACTATTTCTTAGTTCTCGCTAAATATTTGCATTATACTTTCTTCAGGGTCTCCGGAGCACACAACGAAATACAAGCGATTTGTATCAGAAAACAACACGCACCAGAGCGTCAGCCAATAGCTAGAGTAGACAGCAGACTAATAGTCTCACTAAATATGGATTAAGTCACATATTCAGGAATAGACAGGTACTATTCTGGGGGACTGTTTCCGAGAACTCCCTCATATGACATCCACTTTTTAAGTTCATTACGAAGTTTCAGAGTTCACTCACTGTCCTCCGTGAGCCCAGGCAATGCAGCTCGGTGGGGAAGTAGGAAAAAAACATCTGAGCCTCCTCAGAATCTAGCCTATGTCGTTGCCAGGCACAAGGGTGGGTGTTGGAAAGCCGGGGTGTGTGCAAAGATGATTAACTTCCCCTGCTGGAGCTATAAAAGACTACAAAGGGGACATTGAGTTGGACCTTGAAGAATGAGCTGTTGTCCATCTGACACAGAAGGTAGGGAAGAGCTTTCCAGGTATAGGGAACAGTATGTGCAAAGGGATGGAAGCATGAGGAAGCACAGTGAATTCAGTGCTGTAACACTTGGCCATATCCAGGGGGACAGACTCAAATAAGAATGCTGTTATTAGATAATGAGTGCTCACGGATAATGCACTTTGCATGTATTAAACCATTCTAATCGGATGACAACTCTGTGAAGTAGATAATATTATCCCCACTCCATAGATGAGAAACTGGGGCACAGAGAAGTAACCTGCCCAAGCTCACACAGCCAGGAAGTGATGGGACCAGGAATCAAACCTAGGCAACATGTCCCACTAGGGTAACCATCTCTCCATATTATCTCATTTAATCCTCACAGTGATGCTTTCAAGTTCAGAGATGTTCGTTAACATGCCCAAGATCACACAGCAGGGAAGTTGAGGAACAGAGATTCTAGCCCAGACAGAATCAGAGCCCACTCCTAACCCTGTACCCCACAGCTTCCAGGGCACTGACTGCTCTATGGTGAAATTGCTAGTTGATAGCTGAATCCCCCTGTAGGCCTTGGGCTACTTTAGGTGGGCCCCATGCATAATTGTTGGCCATTGTGTCTCCAGCGTCCAGCACAGTGCCCCACCCATAGAGTATTTGCATTTAAACCATTAAGAGGCAGTCCCCTAAAGTCACCAAGAGCCCAAACTCCAAACCCAGCCTCTCCGGACTCAAATCCCAGCTTGGCCAGTTCTAGCTGTGCAGTCTTGGGCAAGTTCCTCCCCCTCTCTGTGCCTCAGTTTCTTTATCACTAAAATGGTGATAATAACAGTACCAACTTCATCAGATTGTGTTAACCGTGTTAGCACATATAAAGCATTTCGATGAAACTCTCATGTATAATGCATTCTTTGTAAGTGTTTACCAGCATTCTTGGCACCACCCAGGCCCCTAGTGCCTGGTTCAGGGAACAGGGAGACATCATATAACTAAAATGACAGACGGATCTGTAGTTCAGCCCAGCAAGTCTGGGGCTGAAGAAGACAGGAGAAATTCAGCCATCCTGGGCGTGTGTGATGACAGTTGACAAACACGGTGTCTGGCTTGATCCTGCCTTCAGAATGCTTAGCACTGGGTTCTGGATCCCACTTGTCTCTGGATTACATGGGTCTCTCTTGCTGTGCCGTATGCTGTATGCGGGGATGGGTTAGGGAAACAATGCAGGTTTTAAACATTATCTCCACCACATAGTAGTGGAGTAACGTCGGGCGCGTTCCCTAATCTCAGCTGTGTCCGCGGCAAAGTGGGGATTATATAACAGAACCTACCCTGTGGGGTGTGAATTCAGGGGAATAACCTAAGTATCTGGCATCGTGCTGGCACAGAGCAGGTCCTCAACAAATGTTTGTCACCTCCTCCCCTCCCCCTAGCCTGGTCTTTGCATCTTATTCATCGCTGAATTTCCCATAATGCCTTGCAGAGAGTAAGTGCTTTACACAATGCTCGATGAGTGCACGAAGGAAGGCTTGTTAAAGGCCCTGATTTGAGGACATTAAAGGGAGCTGCGGGGGAGGAGGGAGGAAGAAGGGAGAGTGGGTGGGGAGCGGGGGGGGGGGGGGAGTGGGGACCTTTCCTTTTTTACTGTAAACACAGTCTAAGCCAGGCAGATGGAGAATAAAGGCAGAGCCTGGGGGGGAAAGGAAGGCAGTCAGGGGGGCCACCAGAGTCTGGAAGAAACCAGAGGAAGGCGATGGGCAAGATGTGGGTGAGGGCTCCTGGGTGGGCTGTGCTGGCAGCGCAGCCTGGGCTCCCTGTGCTAATAGCCAGCGTGTGACTTCCCGGGAGCCCGGCGGGTGGGTGAGGAGCAGAGCCCCCAGCGTCTGGGAAACAGGCGTGGGCGAGCAGGGCTGGAGACCGAGCTTGTGGGTAGGAGAGGGCTGCGGCCCTGCAGGAGGCTGGGCCTCGGGTCACTGCGGTGGTAGCTAGGCACAGGTTGACCCTGTCCTGGCAGGTCAGAAGCCGGGAAGCTGACATCCCCTCCTTCATTATTAAAATATGCATCTCGCAAGCTTGTGACGGGTTTTGTAATGTGCACAGCCTTCAGGACAACTATGGAGCGGCCCATCTGATCCATGAGGCATCAGGATGAACAGATGCCATTACCCCATGTGATAGATGCGGAGGTTCAGGCGTCGATGGGCCTTCTGGTCAACATGCAGTAGGGGTATGCACAAAGATAAGGGCACAGTTAACTCCCCCTGTGCTAAAAAGGAGACATCAAGCTGGATTTTGAAGAATGAGCTGTTGTCCATCTGAGGGAGAAGGTAGAGAAGGACATTTCAGGCACAGGGAACAGAATGTGCAAAGGGATGGGAGCATGAGGAAGCACAGTGTCTTTAGTGATAGTAGCAGTAACTATTGCTCACGTACACTGAGAGCATATGTGTGCTGGGCACTGTTCAGAATGCTTCACACGCTGAATTTGGTTGATTTTTACAACAACCCATGCCAGTAGATGCCCCTGGGATCTCCATTTTACAGAGGAGGAAGCAGAGGCACAGAAAACTAGGAGTTTTCCTTAAGGTGACAGTGATTACAAGGGGTGGAGCCAAGTCTGGAAGCCACTCAAGACAGGCAGACAGTGTGATCAAGGTGTTAAGGGTTAGGCAGGAAGGGATGAACCATATGGCTGGAGAGGTGGAGTGGGGCCAGAAGATAATGGAAGATGAAAGTGTTTTCTACGGGAAATAGGGTGCCACCGATGGTCTAAGCTGGGGTTTGTTGGAAAGCTCAGTGTGCCACATGGCAGAGGAGGAACTGGAGAGGATGACGTCACTGGGGGTGTGAGGAGGTGGCCAGACCCTTTATTCTTACATGTGGGCCAGACTGCTCTTTCCATCTGGATGACCACCACTTACCCGGAGCTCAAGTTCACACACCATCAGGACATGGGTTATGCTATTTCACAAGCTTTCCCTGGGACACAAGAGCTGTCCATGGCCCTGTGACATGACTGTGGCACCTTCTGCATCACATTCTGTGTGTCCAGTGGCTGTGTGTCAGCTCTTGCTAGATTGCTAGCACTCTTTACCTCTTTAATCCTGCACGAGCTAGGATTCCTTACTTCTCTGGGAGCACAGCCCCTTACTGAGTCCTTGAAAACGTATTTCAGAAATTCTCCATGGAAACTCTTCCACGAGGTATAACTCCAGACAAGCGCCTGCTCTAGACAAATGTGCTGCCTTGCTTTCTTCCTCAAACAAGCGTGGGCTGACCCTGCCGGGCAACTGTAGTAGCAGGTCGGTCGACACGGCTACCAGTGCCAGCTCTGACACCAGCTGTGTGACCTTGAGCAAGTCACTGTACCATTCTGGGATGCACCGAAGCAAAAGGAGGTTCTGCTGGACAATATAGACATTGTCTATATTCTCCTCCAGCAAACAATGTTTGCTGTTCCTAGAACTTTACTTTCAAGGATCTGATTTCATGCACTCATGCAACATGCATTTGTAGGGCCAGGCACGGTGCTAGGCGCCAGGATGCAGTAGTGCAAGATGGAGCCCTTGCTATCATCTGGCTGGTTGTTTACAGTAATTGATGCCATTTAACATCTGAGTGCTGAGCACCGATACCTTGCTGGCCTTCTGGTAGAAGTTATGAGAGAAGATTAAGATCTGGCGTCTGCTCTAAAGCTTTTTATCCACATCCACCTCCTTAAGGGGAACCCTCTGCCTGCTGAATATGGACAGGGGAGCTTCTTAAAAGGCGCTCCTTCTACCCGTCCCCTGTAACTACAATCAGATAAGTAGCCACGCCAGACTTTTTTCCAGCGTTGCTTCCAGGTCAACCCATCTCTGATAAGTGCCCCAGGAGCAGTAGAGTTGTCACCTGGCCACGGCCCAGCGTGCCCACAAGGTGGCGGCATTCTTGCATAGTCCTAACAGCTGGGGTCGTCGGGAAACAGCGCCCTCTGTTGGCACGGAGGGGAGAGACCACTTCGTCTCTTAGAGGGGTGGACAGTAGGTCCATCTCCAGTGTTCAGTCAAGGCACTGACCTTCTGGGAAGTCCTGGGGGTGGGGGGATGGTGGTTGGACAAAGGAAAATGGCACTAAAGGCTGCCTTCTCAACCCAGCAGACCTTTCTGGATGCCTTCCCTGAGCTCCCCTGTCCCCAGGGTGGTGTTTGATGGTCTCCTCGGGGCCCCTCCACCAGAGCACTTGCCAGATTGAGTTTGCAAGATTGATTTACCTGTCTTTCTCTTTCATACAGCTGGGACCATGTCCATCCCCAGACTGGGGATTAAAGCTCTCTGGTGAATGAATGAAGCTTATTCCTAGCAAGAACTTAAAAGAGACTCTCACGGGAGCACCATCATCCTGGTGAGGGCATCCTGGGCCATTAATATCCTTGTGCTGAAAGATGGAAAGTGCAAGACGAGAGATGGAGAGATGCAGTCCAAGACACCCTAATGTGAGTTGCTGGTGGAACATCTATGTTTGCCCAAAAGATGTCAGCCTTGACCACATCGGCCAGAGAATCAAAGTGGGGAAGATGGAAAATCCAGATCTGGCTGCGTCTGGTGCCCACTGGAGAAAACTGTGGCCTTTAATCTGGGTTTTTCCTTCACTTCCATCTCTAACCAGGAAGGGAGGCATGAGTTTTAGGGCTGTAAAGGGGTCCACCAGTTGGAACAAGCAGGTCCAACCTGCTTCTCTGCCACCTTCCGTTCGGGCCCCTCCGCCCTGCCGCCTGGCACCTCCACCTCCGCTGCTGGAGCTCCAGCAAAGAGGAAAGCAGTCAGAGGTGCTCTGAAGGGCCCAGCTTCCTTGCATTCCAGCCTTGGCCAAAGCCAGCCCGGGAACAAGTGGAGAGCCCCTCTTGGAGGAAGTGATTCAGAAACCGCCATGGCCTGGCGGCCCGCCGTGACTCACAGCACATCAATGGGGGAATTGTCTGCGAGGCCGAGAATACCAAAGCTCTTTTCTTTCCTTCCTTTTTCTTTTTTTTTGCTTTCTTTTTTGCCCTCCCCTTGGCGGCATTGCGCAACATCAGGGCTGCCCAGAAACATGTGTTTCTCATCATTGGCTCCAACAGCCGCCTTGGAGAACTAGGGAGAAAACAAGAGTGAGAGGGAGCAGACCACGCGGGGAGCTACAGCAATTAGGGGGGGGCTTCTCTTTCACCACACCCGAGTCCTCTTTCACCTTCTCCATCAACACCGAAACCCAAAGAGCTCTAGGAGGGTGAAGAATGGAATTTTGAATCCGAGAGCAAACTTAGAGCATGTCTCTTCCAATATCCTTACCCACAGATGAGGAAACTGAGGCCCCAAGAAGGGAAGTGAGTGGCTTGCCAAATACCCCATGGCCAAGTTATAGCTTGCATTTTGCTGCGCCCCTGTGTTTTCCTGTACCCCAAATCAGGAAATGCGGTTCGACAAAGAAGGATTTTTTTTCTTGAATAGTGAAAAATGAGAACTCATACTAAGTTTCGTTATAAATCTATCAATTATCCCTCTCTCCTTATCTTCCAGTCTCGGGAAACTGGTCTGTACCAGGTCACTTGTGAGGTCATTGGCAGAACCGACAGGGCTTTTTGCAGTCCTCAGTCTGATTGGCTGTCTTTGTAGCGTGTGACAATCATCCGTCTGTTCTCCCCACCTGTCAGTCCCCCTTCTCTTTTTCAGCATCCTTTGCTCCCCCTCTGGCTCTTCAGTGTCCCAGTCGCACAGGGTGCTTCCTCAGCCCTCTTCTCCTCTCACTCACGTCCATATTCATGTTTTCAGCGACTACCAACGAGGTGACAACTCCCAGATCTTAACTACAGCCATTCATCTTTTCCGAGCTAGAGATGTGTATATAGAGCTGCCTTCTCAGCGCCTTCTTTGGATGCCCCAAACTGAACTCAACCATTTCCCCCCAAAGTTCTTTGACTACTTGGATTTTATTGCCAAGCAACTATGGGACAAGTATAGTTAGCGTTTCAAAGCATGTGCTTTGGAATCTCCCATACGGGCTTGACTCCCAAATATGCCACTTAACTCCCTATGGGGCCTTGACTGAGTTACCTAACCCTCCAATTTCCTCATCTGTAAAATGGGGATAATAACAATACCTACTTCATAAGGCCGTCATTAAGAGGAAGTGCGTTAATATAATAGCATTAGCACAATGCCTGGCGTGTAGAAAATGCCCAATGAATCCTGGGCTATTTTTATTATGCATGTCAGCACCCTCCCCATGGGGCCACACTGAATTCTTACCATTTCTTAAAGACAATAGGCCCTTCTATGATGCCAGGCCATTCTCCTGGTTTAGGATGCCCTTCATACTCTTCTCTGAGGCAAACTCCTACTCACCCTTCAGACTGAGTCCAACCATCATTGCCCTTGTAAGAAGTTAGAAGCTCCTTCCTTAGTTCTTGCAGAGCGCTTTGTACCACTGCCATAGCATTCATTACACTGAGTCCTAATC